CTGGCCACTTGGTTATTATGGACATTTTATGAGTTTGAAATAAGATGTCAGTTAGTTACAAAAAAAACAAAGAAAGTTATTCCTAATGAGCCTCTTCAGCTGCTTTCTGTTGTAGGAGAGTCACATCAAGGTTTTATAGATGACTACGTAACCTATTGACTAAAGTTCAATCCAACTTTCACGTGTGCAATCTCTCAATTCCCTGCAGCGATACCTTTATGCTGCCTTAAGTGAAAATGTGTTATCAGAGAGTTGGCGAAGTTCTGTACTTCTTTCAGGTTACCAAAGGTCATTCAAACAAATCAAAGAACTAACTATATGTCCTGTGAATTCAGCCGAGTATTTGAAGTTTTAGCTGGGAAACATCGGGTTTCCAGTGTTTAATCACCTTGAAAGAAAGAAAAGAAAATTCCAAAAACTCTGCAGTGTACACATTGTTTTGACTGAGCTCCTCAGTGGGTTGAAGGTATATCACTCAACCTGTTTGTGATCTGTGAAGCCGAGCTGGAGTCAGTGGGGTTCATGTGAGCTAAATGAATGTTTGGCCACACAGATCTTCAGAGATCCTCTCAAACTGCTGCGTGAGCAGCCAGAAGCAGATTCTTCTGATGATGTAAATGTTCTTGATTATATAAGTTGCTCTTGTGAGCGGTGTCATCATGCTTGTGAAGTAGTCAAATAGGCCTTCATCAACACAAAGAATATGATGCTTTGGCAAAAAGAAATGCCGTAAAGTGCAGCTTCCTGCCTGGATATTCTGTATTGGCTCTTTTGCATTTATCAGAATTTTTTTTTTATTTTTTTTTTATACTCTTTATTTAACATTTTTCATTTCAATAAAACATACAACACACACAGAACTTGGGGCACTGATACTTAGATAAGTAGAAATACAGAAACAAAATAATACATTACAAGATGATACACCTATGCTTCCTTGTTCTTGTACGTTAGCCATTTAGACCAGCGTTTGTTGTAAGAATGTCCTTTCATACGTAAAAGATATGTCAGTTTTTCCATAGAGTGAATCTCCTCCATGACATCTCGCCAGTGGCCCAGCTGGGGTGGGAGATTCTTTAGCCAAGACCTTGTAATTGCTTTTTTGCTTGCAATTGACAGAACTTTAAAAAGGTACTGATCTTCTTTTTGAAGCACTTTTTCAGACATCAACCCCAGCAGAAAAATTCTAGGGTCCTTGGGGATGACATATCCCAAAATTCTCCCTGTAGTCTGACAGATTCCATCCCAATAAGTTGCCAACTTTGGGCAGGACCAAAATATATGAGAGTGATTGGCGTTCTGATGGCCACATTGTCTCCAACATTGCTGTTCTTTTCCTCTATGTCTACTAGTAATTTGAGGCGTAATAAAGTATCTGATTAAGCACTTCCATCCGAATTCCCTCCATCTTTTGGAACTAGTAGATGTCTGTTGTGTCTCACACATTGAGAGCCAATCATCGTCTGTAATTATTACTCCCAATTCTCTTTCCCATTTAGACTTAATGTTCATGGTGTTATTTCCGTTATGTTTCTGCAACCCTTTATATAGTTTGGAAACAATTTTACTAGGGAGGTGAGAATAAGCTTTCGTAAAAATGTTCACAATAGTGTTACCTTCTGGAGGCACACCTTTTTTTATTTTTGTGTTGTAAAAATGTCTTACCTGAAAATATTTAAATAAGTCTCGGTTCTCAAGATTATAATCCCTTTTCAGTTGCTCAAATGTTTTAAAGGTGTTACCTTCTACGAACTGACACAAAGCCACGAGTCCTCTATCTTTCCAGTCTGAAAAAGAAGGATCAATTTCTCCTGGCCGAAAGTTTGAGTTACAGGAGGGCCACATCAGGAGTCCAGTGACATCCGCCAATCTGTATCTATCAACCACTTCCTTCCAAATTAACAATGTGTCTTCAACTATACCATTCCCATTTTTGTCTGTAACTATTTTACCTCCCAGACGTGTTTGGGGTTGGGCCCCACCCTGCCTTAGTTCTATCTGTTTCCATCCGGCCTCCATTTCTGGGGAGCACCAGCAGACCATGAATCTCATCTGCGATGCATAATAGTATTCCCTCAAATTTGGAAGGGCCAGACCCCCCTGGTCCCTATTAATTTGGAGTATTTTAAATTTTATTCTTGGTCTGGTCCCGGACCAAATAAATCTGGAGATCAACCTGTCCCAAGCATGGAACTGTGCGCTAGATATTCTAATAGGCAATGACATGAAAAGGTATAAAAATCTAGGAAGCAGATTCATCTTCACTATTTCCATTCTAGCTGTGAAGTCCAACAATAACCTTGACCAGGCTGACAAGTCTTTTTGTATGTTTTCAGTAAGGTTATCAAAGTTCAAAGTAAATAGCTCATGCAAATCTTGAGAAACAAATACTCCCAGGTATTTTAGCTTTTTGGCATCCCACTTAAGTCCATAGTTCTTTCTTATAGATTTACTAGGGGAGTAGTTAATTGCCAGGACCTGTGTTTTTGTGATGTTTAGACTGTAGCCCGACAGTTGACCAAACTCAGTTAGAGCTGACATAACCTTAGGGAGTGTTATATCTGGGTTTTGGAGGTATGTGATTACATCATCTGCGAAAAGGGCAATTTTGTGTTCTTTATTTGCAAAATTAATTCCCTTTATTCCATTATCCTCTCTAATAGCCTGTGCCAAGGGTTCAATGAATATTGCAAAAAGCGATGGGCTTAGACAACATCCCTGACGGGTTCCTCTGTGTAGTTGGAAGCTGTTTGTTAGGTGCCCATTGATTTTGACCCTGGCCTGTGGTTCATCGTAAAGTGACCGCAGGCACCTAATAAACTGGTTATTAAAGCCCAGGCGTTCTAGTACCTTATATAGAAAGGTCCAGTTGACCCGATCAAGGGCCTTCTCTGCGTCTAGACTAATTAATGCAGCGTTGAGGCCCTGCTTTTTGGTTTGGTCTAGGATATGTAATGTTCGTCTTATGCTGTCATGAGTTTGTCGGCCTTTGATGAATCCCGTCTGGTCTTCATGTATTAGGTCTAACAAGTAATACTCCATTCTCCTAGAGATTATTGATGTAAAAATTTTATAATCGACATTCAGAATTGAGATTGGGCGATATGATTCGCAGTATTCAACATTTTTCCCTTCTTTAGGCAGGACAGATATTACAGCCTCTCTCCAAGATGGTGGGATCTCAGCCCTGCACAATGTCCAGTTCAAAGATTCAAGCAGGACAGGAGAAAGCTCCTTCCTGAATGTCTTGTACCATTCATTTGAAAATCCATCGCTACCTGGGCACTTATTACTTTTCAATTGTCCAATAACTGTATCTAATTCTTTCTGCGTAATGGGTGCAGATAGAGTTTTGTTTTGGATTAGACCAAGTGAAGGTAGATCCAAAGCTGCCAGATAATCGTCAATAGCAGTTACGTTAACTGGTCCTGGATCAGAATATAGTGTTTTAAAGTAATTTTCAAAGGTCTTGTGTATTTTATCCATGTCATAGGTTAAGTTACCAGTTGAGGATTCTCTAATTTTGGTAATCGAATGCTTCAAATGGTGTTTACGAAGTTGTCTAGCTAAGATCCGTGTAGCTTTTGGGCCTGATTCATAAAATGTTTGTTTGCAGAATCGTAGTTTTTCCTCAAGTTCCTCAAGTATCATATCATTTATTTTATTTTTGGTTTTTGTTATTTGTTCTGAAAATCCTCCATTTTTAGTCATTTGCTGTTTTAATTCTAATTTCCTCAATGTTTTTTCCAATTCGTCATATTTTAACCTTTTTATTTTTTTCAGATAAGCAGTTCTAGAAATTAGTCTCCCTCTCATTACTGCCTTGACAGTGTCCCAAACCAAGGTGGGGTTTACCTGCCCATTATTATTGTCTTTTACACACTCCGTTATTTCTTTTCTAATCTCCTTCGTTGTGGTTTCATTATTAAGAATGCCTATATTTAGGCGCCATAATGTTGTTTTAGGCCTATTAGATAAACTGATGGTCAGATAGATAATGTTGTGGTCTGAAATATCCGATGTTCCAATTACGCATTCCTTCACTTTAGATCTATCAATGGTATTCATCAAAAACAGGTCTATCCTGGAGTGGACTTTGTGGGTAGCAGAGTAATGAGTAAAGTCTCTTTCTTTAATATGAAGAGCCCTCCAAACATCAAACAGTCCCATCTCCCTGATCAGGACATTTAGATCTTTTGACCGACCCGTTTTTTGTTTCTTATGGCTTGTTGTATCTAGGACATAATTAGGGATTGTGTTCCAGTCTCCGGCACAAATAAGAACTCCTTCACTAAATGAGATAATGGTATCAAAGAACGTTTTCAAGAAAGTCCTGTCGCTCTCTGGCGGTACATATATATTAGCTATTGTGACTACAACATCATCAATTCTCCCCTTTATTATAACAAATCTGCCCTCTTTATCTCCCTTCTCAGAAATCAATTCAAAGTTCAATGAATTAGAAATTAGGGTGATCACCCCCCTCTTTCTACTATTTCTACAGGAGCTATAAAACGAGTTCAGGTAACCAAATGACTTAAACTTGTCATGTTCTTGTTTAGACATGTGCGTCTCTTGTAAAAGAGCGATTTGTATCCCATCTTTCTTCAATTTAGCTAAGGCCCTTTTTCTCTTCACTGGACTATTCAAACCGTTTACATTCAAGGAAGCAACTTTTAAGTTATATGACAGTAATGTATAGAAATACCTTGACTGATTTGGCCCCTGGATCCAGAACACGAACAATAACAAAACAGAACAGTAACAAACTGACTTCCAAGGTGAGGAGAAGCTCCCTCTTCTCACTCGTGACCCCGTTGGCAAGTCGAGGGTTAAACCTCTCGAACTGAGAGGGCCCAAAAAGGACAGTAAAAGCGCCTTTAGGAAAAAACACGTCCATCCTATTAGTCCAACGTAGAAAAAAAACAGTGTCCTCTCCCACCAAATAGTATATCAGAGCCCAGTAAAAATAATGTTGCGTTATGTTATTCTGCCTATTTTCACTCGGCCATGCTCCGCTGGAAATCCTGCAGTTTGTTCTTGGCTCTCAGCGCGACCGCCGCGCCGCTGCTCTCCGCCGGCTGCCAGCCCAGCAGCGCCCGGAGACTCGCCTCCGCTCCGGACCCCCCGTCAGCTGTCACCGGCTCCTCCGACTGGATTCCGCGTCTCTTCAGCTCGTTGTAGGCTTCCCGTGCGCTGGAATATGTGCGAGTTCCTGACTCCCAGTGGATCCTCATGTTGGTAAACGGTGTTTGAAAGCGAACGCCTTTCGCTTTGAGCGCTTTCTTGATAACGTTATATTCTCTGCGCTTCTTCACTATCTCAGGTGCATAATCGTGGTCGAAGTGAATAATAGAAGAGCCCACCTGGATCTTGCCTTTTTTCCACATTTCTCTTAAGATCTTTTCCTTTGTGGAAAATTCCAGAAAGTTGACAATAATCGCCCTCGGTGGTGCGTCGGGTGGGGGTTTAGTTGCCAGAGTACGATGTGCGCGCTGTATGTTCAGGTCCAGGTCCTCCGGTAGTTGTAGCTGGCTTCTCAGAAACGTCTCGATATACTGTGGAGTTGAGTTCCCCTCCTTTCCCTCTGGTACCACAAATATACGGACGTTGTTTCTTCTGGAGCGAGATTCTAAATCAAGCACCTTAAGCTGTGTTTTCCTCTGTTGTTCGATGCACATGCACAGCGCCTCGGTTGCCTCCTTTGCCCAGGTCTCCACCTGATGAACACGGGTCTCCGCCTCGTCAACCCGCTCTGTCAGGCCCTGGACCTCAGTAGCAATATTGTCCAGCTTACCGTTGATCTCATGTCCCAGATGGTCAATATTTTGTTGCAGCTTTGCATTATCACCCTTTAAAGCAGTCTTCAAATCATCGATAGCCTTAATTATTCCCTCCGAGTCCATGTTCGTTCCAGGGCTCTCAGCTTCCGAGCTAGCCACGTTGTCGTTAGTTTGCTTCAGACATGTGTTAGTCTGAGCTACTTGGGCACTTTTATCCTGAGTTTTGGGCATTTTTGTCGATTTTTTATAGCTCGACATGTTTCTCCTTCCGTTCATAAATTATTTTATCCAAATAGTGAGCAGATTAACGAGTTTTGAACGGAGTATTTTGAAATTAAGGTGGGAGAGAGGCTCTGACGCACCGTCTACTCCATTTGCTTCCGGAAGTCTCTCATCAGAATTTATATTTTACATTCCAAGTTTCCTGGCCCGTATGTGATTATGACAAAACTGAGTTACACAGATTATGCCATTTTCTACCCCTGATAGGTAGCATACATCTCGTTTGTATCATGCTTATGTGCTGAATGTCTGGTGAGGAGATAAAAGCTTGCAACAAGTGTGTTGTGTTGCTTTTAGTTGTTTCTCATTGTCCCGGTGACAATAACAGGATGTACAGATTGTGATGGGTCCCATCTTTCTCTCTCTATATATCTTCCTTGGTTGATATGTAGTCATGCTGATCGATTTCCAGATTTGCCTACCCATACAAATCTGTTACGACACAATATTGACATTTGTGATGGTCAGACTGTCAGACAGAATCCATACCATGTGAGTGTAAAATGGTCTTGCGGTTTCTGGCTCCAGATCATTGTTTGTTTGTGATGTCACCAAGCCTGATTTCTTTTGTAATTCTCGTGTTTGGGATTCTATATGCCGAGTAGGCTCAGCTTGCTATATGACAAAGCTATATTTGCTCAAAGGATATTTCCGGATGCCTCTGACATCTCCGCATTTGTAATGCCAGATCATCTTCTTCACCACACTGCCATGACAACATTGTACTAAAAAATTTTGTAGAGCAACAGAGAAGCTCAGTTTCATTCCAGCATCTTCACCATAAGTTACTGTTCTATAGCATAGTATATCCATAGATAATACCTGGATGGAAATCATGCATAACGGTTGTGCAAACCAGAAGAAATTCAATATGCCAGTTTGCCAGAATCTATTCAATCATGACTTAATTGCAATACATTTATTTTCTATGAGGGATATGAAATAACAGAAATAGAAACAGATTATTTTTCTATTGTTACGGCCACAGAAGAAAATGATCTTTTAGTCAAAAAGTTTTTTTCTTTCTTCTTTAGGGAAATGCGATGACAATTATTGAAATCCAGCAAAGATCACTTGAAGATGATGAACTTAAAAGATGAACATGATGAACATTTTGAGACACCATGTTAAACATTTTGGTTCTTTAAATCTGTCAGTCCTTCATTGACATTGTTCTCAATGCATACACATGCAAAGACACATTGAAACTGATTCAGATGCACTTAATTCAGGAATGTTGCCTACGTGACTTACATAACAGTCATACTGTAGATCCAACAGCACTTTTTTTTTTCCATTGGGGGTGTGAAAACACCACTGTAACACCTTAGAATGGTGATGACTTTTATTTGCCTTTGCTTTTCACCTGTGCTTAAATCTCATCCTATTGCTTTTTTTTCATTTGTCTTTTCACACTTGCCTCTGGTCTCTCCTTCCTCATTTCCTCCTTATATTGCTCCTGTGCGTTTTGGTTTGTTTTTCTTCTACCTGTCGTGAATGCAACAGGCCTTGATCGATACAAATGTGGTCATGACGTATATTCATTAAAGTCGGATCATTCCACAAACACAAAATGCTTTGTGAATGATCCGAGTTGAAGATGGTACAAAAAAAACAAAAACAAACACTGATAAATAACTAGTTCGAATGAAATAGTATTGAATGGAATTGGAAATGAGAAGGTGTATAGATATGTTGTGAAAGCTCTGATATGGGGAGAGATGAGAGCTCAGGGGGAGAGGGATTGAAAAATATGAGTTTACGGAACCTGAGAGCAGAAGAAAAATGGAGAGACAGAGCCGAAGAAACTGAGACAGAAAGATGGAATTTCGGTTCAGACTTAGTATTTGCCCTGTAGGACTGGCGAGCGGAAGGTTAGCCAGCAGACAGCCCACTCTGTCACACTGCATTTTGTCAACAGCATTGGAAGTTATTTCTGCAGGCATGGGAGCTCCGACTCAAGTGGCTTGGACTTTTTTTTTGTTTCTGTTGGATGTGCTTGTGTCTGTTAGTCAAGAGCGAAAAAGCTGCTGTTCGTTACCCACAAAACCCTGTTTAAATACATCAGTATCTCCCAGAAGACACAGTTGACATTTCTTTCTGTCTTTTAATCCTTAGTGTTGGATTAGTTGTGTAAGGACGTTGTGTCTCTGCATTAATGTTGTCACAGCTGTGTGCTTGCCATCTTCTCTCCGTTCACTCACTGTCACACTATAATAAAGTGCCCAACTCTTCAACTCATACGCTCTCCTGAGAGTCATTTCTGGCCGTTTTCCCTCCCGTACACACATCCGCATTCACACACACACCCATGCGCTCATTTATCCCCTTGTCTAGAAAGATTAGTCCCATTGTTTATAAATTGATCATCTTCAGCACGGGCCGTTGGAGAAAACCCTAGCATGGACTGTAGCTCAGCTACTGCAGGGACAGGACTCCGGCATATTTCATCACAGCCTAATTGGCCACAGAAAACAACAGTAGCTTATTGTTTGAAGATACAGAGGGGAAAATTGCTAAATGGATTTCCCACTGTGGCTGTGGAAAAAGAAGTGAAAAGGGAAGCTAGTTGCTGTTAGAGTTTAATGTGTGAACTTGAAATGTGATGTGGATGGGGGGAAATTCAGGTTGGTCAGAGGGAAAAGAAGAAGAGAGTATCACAGGAATGAGTAACACATGATTTGAGGTGGAGGACAAAAAACAACCAAAATAAACGTTTATTGGAATAAAAAATGTGCTATGAATAGAAAATCACTACTGAAACTACTTGGGCTCTCTCCAGGTACTCAAACTTCCTCCCACCACGCAAATACATCCATGTTAAACGATTTGGTGGTTCTGAATCAAATGTAGGAGTGAGCTTGCAAAGTTGTTTTCCATTGTGTTTTTTTCTTTGTGGCATTGTGCATAGAAGTTCTTCACAGAATCATGTCAGGTTTTAACACACTGCTGTCTGAGACTTAAATCAAAAAGATTATCAGCCATGTCCCTTGAAGTTAGAGATGCTGTGAGATTTTTGGAGTCTTTTGGTGACATTATGGACCATATATGATAGAGTATTAGAAGTTGTCATGAATACCTTTTGCAGAAGCACATTTTCAAATATCTCCAGAATTTTTCAACACAGTTTTCAACAGATTGTTGGACCTATACACATCTTAGATTACAAGAGTCTCCAACTCTTTATGATGCTCTCTTTATGACCAGTCAAAAAACAGATCAATTGTCAAAACCAACAGACTGCTGACCCGTCTACGCTGTACTTTGCCTACTGGAATGGTTTTAATCTAAAGTTTAAGGAAAGAGAGGCTCCCCTCTTTTGGACAGCCTGAAGAAATGTTGTAATTTCACATCAAATAATTTCACATAATGCCCTCTATCATGGTGGATTCCTGTCACCCCGTGTTACAAAATGAATGTCTTCTCAGCAAATGTGTTTAATCTCGGTCTGACATTTACACAAAACGGATGTATAGGACCTGCAAGCGCGCACACACCGGAGCTGATTCATCTTCCAGGCCTCTTCAGACTTGAGTGTCCACAAAAAGTATAACTCACAGTGACATTTCAACAAATCTATCAACGACCTCACTCCAAACTATCTCCACCCTCTCCATATATATATATATATATATATATATATATATAACACATGCATGGGTTTGCAAAGTAATAACCTGGTACTGCACTGAAGTTAACTATCCACTCAGAATCAAACTGATTTATTGCGCCTCCTTTTGTCTGTTGTTTTCTTGAGCCACAGTAAACTTGAAGGTCATTTATTGGCTCGTGACTGTTACGCTGATATATAGGGCTTCAGGAAATGACATTTTAAAGACAATACAGAAGCGAAGGAAATAGAAAAAAACCATATATTTTGTATGGCACAGTTTACATGTGAGACTGTTTTAAACTTTTATATTGTACTGCTGTGTTTTTTTTTCACAGACTCTATTTGCAGACTTGGCTCATCAAATATGTGCATATTTTATATGCTTGAACTTTGTCTTAATTGATATCTAGGTGTGTGTTTGTCTGTGTCTGATCGCATACACAGGAGCTCGGAGACTAATGTGTGCACAATGGACTGTTTCTTAATTCTCAGATATTATGTGTAATTTCCACAGCCCGCACCTGTCCCTATTCACAGCAGGATTAACTCGTTTTCGTCAATACCAACTCCTTCAAGTTTTTAATTTTGAGAGGCTTTATGAAATTATATCCTCTCTCCTCTTAGCTAGAATGTTTGAACAAAGTAGATTGCAAAGAGACTGCTGAAGAACCAGAGCTTATGAAGCGGTCGTGCAGCTTACCCCTTTTTTTTTCTCCCCGTAGGCATTTGTGTTTGACAGCTTTAATCAATACTATTAGAACTATTAAAACTCAGTCCATTTATAAATGGTGAGAAAATGAAGCAATCGGCGAACGTTTTGTCATTATTCTTCCTGCCTGCTACCTGGCTTATTCAAGTGTTTGTTTATACATAAGCAATGTGCAATATTTCACATTCATACTGAATTAAATTCAGTAATACAGTTAAAAATGTGTGGGAAAACATTGGTACATCTCACACATAAACAGTGATAGAATTAGATAACGTTGACTGTAATTTGGTTTGGGCAGGGGGTGCAGAGAGAATAGAGATGCACAATGGAGTACTTCTGTAATTAGGCACACTGTTCTTTTTCTGTACTAGGCTAAAATGTGTTGTTGTTTTTTCAGCATTTCTCAACTACATAGTTTATACACAAACAGGTTTAAGTCAACTTTGGACTATCTGTCCATAGCTTACTCATCAAGCTGGTTACTGTAGTTATAATTCATCTGGTTATTTGAGAAGAATTAAATTAGGGGTTTTTCCCTGTTTTGAAATAGGAATTTAAAACTTTACTATTTATATTGTTTGAAATTATCTATTTTTTTTTATTAAGATGTACATTTCTTTAGTC